CTGTGCAGCTGAGACATAGCTTGTTCCTCTGCCTTTTGTGTTAAAGGGGCAACCCAGCCCAGCCACTAGTGTGTGGCATTGAACGAGTTCCATGGGCAAAATCCTCCCCACTCTGGGGCAGACCTGAGGCCGATTAGGACCCCTGGGAGCAGGCCCAGCAGGGGGCCAGACTGATCTCTGCTCCCGGGGAGGTGGGTGGTTCTCCTCCTCCCCTGGGGTGCTGCGGTGCTGGTACCAGTTAGCCAGGCACTGTGGCAGGGCCATTGCTCAGAGCTTGGGGATGATGGTGCCCTGCTGGCTGGTGAGGAGGGGTAGACGGGGGCTGTTTGGGGCAGGATGGGGAGAGGAGGCAGGGGAACAGGTTGCGGTGCACTTACAATCAGAGCAGGCGTGGCCACCCCACAGTGAGCCATCTCTGCAGCACTGCCAGCCGCTCTGCTCCTGCAGAGCTTAGGGGCGCTCACCATGCCGGGTACCCAAGGGGCACCCCTCCTCACCATACTATTTGGGCTCCCTCGCCACTCTACCCTAGTAGCTCTGGCAGGACAGCAGTGACTGCAAAGGGGCACAGAGTGGATGCTGATGTAGGGACACAGAGTACATGCGTTGCCCCAGTGGTCAGTATTATGTATACCGGTCCAGTGGTCCGTATACCATGCATTGCTTTAGTGTTACATTATTGTGTGCATTGCTCTAGCAGTGCATACTGCATATGCTAGTCCAGTGGGTCTGTACTGTATGTATATTGGGTATACTGCCCTGGCTTCACCTTATTACAGGGGTAGGCAACCTATGGCATGCGTGCCGAAGGCGGCACGCGAGCTGATTTTCAGTGGCACTCACACTGCCTGGGTCCTGGCCACCGGTCCGGGGGGCTCTGCATTGTAATTTAATTTTAAATAAAGCTTCTTAAACATTTCAAAAACCTTATTTACTTTACATACAACAATAGTTTAGTTATATATTATAGACTTATAGAAAGAGACCTTCTAAAAACGTTAAAATGTATTACTGGCACGCGAAACCTTAAATTAGAGTGAATAAATGAAGACTCGGCACACCACTTCTGAAAGGTTGCCGACCCCTGCATTATTGCATATTTTGCCTCTGCAATGGCATATTGCATATACTACACCAGCAGGCCATGTTACATATACTGATCCCGTGTTGCATGTGATGCCCTACATGCATTACCCCATTGATGCAATACTCCATGCATTACTCTGGTGGTCAGTATTTCAAGTAACACCCTGCCACTGCATGTTCCATGCATTGCCCCAGTGGTCCATATTGTGCATAACACTCTGTAATTGCGTATTTCATGCATTGTTCCAACTGTTCATTATTCCATGCATCTCTCTGTCTGTCCCTAGTACATGTATCTCCCTGTCACTGCATATCACATGCATTGCATTGGTGGCACAATATTCCGTGCATCATTCTGGGGGTTCACATTGCGTATAACGCCCTGCTGTTGCATATTGCATGCATTGTCTTGGCAATGCAGCATTGCAAGCCCCACCCCCACCGGTGCAGCCATGCCAATGCTTCTATTCTAATCCTGCTAGCAATCTCTTGTCCCGCAGGTGCACTGCCCTGTCCCGCACTGCTTGTGCAAACCGAACAGCAGGCAGGGCATTACTTCCACCCCCTTGTGCTGTAATAACCCCCGTGTAATGCAGTAATTACATCCACAGCTCTAATAAGCAGCATGAGGCACCATAATAGCTGGGATGCAGCAGCCCATCCTGCCATGTGCTGTTAAGCGCTGGTTAGCACTGTAACCCTTGAGCGCTGCACCAGCCCCCTGACTGCAAGGGCAGCAGAGGCTGCACATATGTATTTGGTGGCTCTCAGCTTTCTGAGGGGGCCCAGGGGGAGGCAGGCGTCTCTGCCAGGACTGCTTCCAAGGTGTGACAGGACAGAGGGATCCAAATTTCAGAACTACATGGGCCAAGAAATAAGCATTTGGCAGGAGAGAAAAAATAATCCCACACCAGACTGGGTTAAAACCATCTGGGATCCAACATGGTAGGATGGGTCCATGCTAAGCTCCTGCAGGAAGTTAGTGGCAGAGCTGGGCATAGAACTGTCCTGACTCCCAGCCCCCCGGCTCTAGCCACTAGGCACCACTCCATTCCCAGAGCTGGGATAGTAAGTCTTGGGGCTGGGGCTCACTGGCAGAGATGCACATTTTGCAGTGGCTAGTCAGGGATTCATTCAGTCTGAGCCCTTCCCACCTAGCCTCTGGTGCTCTGGGCCAGTGAGCAGTCCCTGCCTGGCATGCTGGCTGTGTGCCCCAGCTGGTGTCAAGGGCGGGGCCCAACATCCCATCCTGTTTGAATCCGGGACCTTATGTGCCCAGGGATCTCGATCATTTATTTCAAGATCTTTATTACCCCATGGCAGGTCCAGTCCAGAGGGAACAGCTGGCTGTGACTGACTGACTACTGAAAACACACAATGTCCGCACACAGAGATAACTGAAATATATACACACAGTCCCAGACACACACGCACACACCCAGAGATAACAGAAATACACACCGTCCCAGACACGCCTGCATGCAGAGATAGAAAAGCACACAGTCACAGACAGGCACAGACAAGCACACACCCCAAGAGATGATCAGACACACTTCCAGACAAACACCAACAGATGCTAGCACAGAGAAACATACGCATGCACATGACCAGAGTGGGAGAGCCAGACCCCCCACCCCATACCCTAAGGCTGAGGTGCTGGGTGGAAGCCAGTGGCTCCCAGCCCATGCGCAGTGCCGTGCCTGGCTCCGGGGCTGGATCCATTCCCACTCTGCCGCAGACGGGCCTTCATCGTTAGCGTATTGACGACGCAAACGAGCTTAGGGCTGAAATTTCAATCGATGGCTCCCGGAACTGGATTAAAGGGGCTTTGATTACTCTGCAGCCCAAGTGAATTAGCCAGAGAGGGGTAGACGCCATCAGGGGATTAAAGAATCAGGGCTGGGGAGAAAAACAGGACTCCTGGGTTCTATCCCCAGCTCTAGGAAGGGAGGGGCGTCTAGTGGTTAGAGCAGAAGGGCTGGATGTCACGTTCTATGCCCGTCTTGGGGAGGACTTTCTCCTCTCGCTTTAGCCTGGCGTAAGGAAGCGAGGACTCTGGTCCCAGGTCTGAGCCACTTGGGTGATTGTGTCTGGCACAGGCTGCTGGGAATGGACCTCCCAAGCAGCTGGCTAACAAATCCCATTCCTCCCAGCAAGACTTGGAGTCACAGCAGATGCTTCCCCAAGGCTGTTCTCATGCAGCCATCTCTGGGCTGCCTCGCTAAGCAGGGACAGACCCACTCAGGGCTTGGAGGGGAGACCTTGAAGGAAGCAGCCATGGTGTGGGGGGGGTGGTGTGGGCTCAGCCAGGGTTGCTCTCCCCTCAGACTCACACTACAGGGCACTGTGGTGCAGGGAGGTGGCGCTCCCCCCACACAGTCATTGCTAACCCCAGGGCTGCACTGGGGGCGCTGTGCTGCCGGGAGTGGGCCAGGAATTCAGTAGGGGGCATGGTGCTGCAGGGAGCAGGGCAGAGCCTCAGTAATGGAGGCTGTGCTGCAGGGAGTGGTGCTGTAGGGGGCACTGTGCTCGAGGAGTGAGGTAGGGCTCAATAGGGGGCACCGTGCTGTATGGAGCTGCTGGAGGTCATTAACAGGTGCTGTGCTGCAGAGAGTGGGGGCTTGAGGGGCACTGTGGGGCTGGAACATAAGAACATAAAAACAGCCATACTGGGTCAGACCGAAGGACCATCTAGCCCAGTAGCCTGTCTTCCAACAGTGGCCAATGCCAGGTGCCCCAGAGGGAATGAACAGAACAGGTAATCATCCAGTGATCCATCCCCTGTCACTCGGTCCCAGCTTCTGGCAAACAGAGACTTGGGACACCATCCCTGCCCATCCTGGCTAATAGCCATTGATGGACCTATCCTCCAGGAATTCATCTAGTTCTTTTTTGAACCCTGTTATAGTTTTGGCCTTCACAACATCCTCTGGCAAAGAGTTCCACAAACTGACTCTGCTTTGTGTGAAGAAATACTTCCTTTTGTTTGTTTTAAACCTGCTGCTTATTAATTTCATTTGGTGGCCCCTAGTTCTTGTGTTATGAGAAGGAGTAAATAATATTTCCCTATTCACTTTCTGCACACCAGTCATGATTTTAGAGATCTCAATTATATCCCCCCTTAGTTGTCTCTTTTCCAAGCTGAAAACTCCCAGTCTTATTAATCTCTCTCCGGATATGGCAGCCGTCCCATACCCCTTTTCTGAACCTTCTCTGGAGCGGCGCTGTGCTGCAGGGAGTGAGGTGGGGGATTAGAGGGGCACTGTGGGGTGGGGAGCTGGAGAGGTGCTGTGGAGCTGGAGGGGCGCTGTGCTGCTGGGAGTGGGCCAGGGGGCTGGTGGGACGCTGTGCTGCTGGGAGTGGGATGCAGTTTAATAGGGGGCACTATCATGGTGGTGGTCCATCTTTCCAATGAAATACCAAGCCAAGCTCTTTCAAACTTGTGCTCAGGGAAGGTACCTTGGTCCTGCCCCCAGGCCAGGGGACCTTAATTCTGGTCCCTGGCCAAATTCCCACTCACATGAGTCCATTTGGCCTCCGCACAATCAGCCAGGAGATTCTCCCTTACTTCTGTCTCAGACTCTGCAGAATCGCTGTGTGACGTTTGAACAGCCCTGGTGCCTCACCCCAGACGCAGCTGCTTCTCAGCCCTGGGTGGGCCTCCTTCTGGCCTTGAAAAGCCATGCCTGAGAAATGATACAGGCTGCCATGTGGGAGGGAGAATCATTGCAGGGGGCGGGGGAGAGGGGGTAATGCCTGCCTGCTCAAAGCACTAGATCTCACCCCTGCTCCTGGAGCTTGGATAAAACCCAGGAGTCCTGACTCCCTTCCCAGAACTGAGGATAGAACCCAGGAGTTCTGGCTCTCAGCTCCCACCCTCACCCCCTTCTCTGATGTCTCTCCTCCCCCTCTAGGACCAAGGCACAATCGGGGTCATCTTCAACGTGGGCACGGATGACATCACCATTGAGGAGACCAATGCCATGGTGAATGACGGCAAGTACCACGTGGTGCGCTTCACCCGGAGCGGGGGCAATGCCACGCTGCAGGTGGACAACTGGCCCGTCAACGAGCGCTACCCAGCAGGTAAGGCTGGGCGCCAGCCCTGCCGCCCACCCCGCCCCAATGCCTGGCCTGTGTGCCCTGTCAGCGGTGGAGGTCGCAACCAGCCCTCAGCCCTGCCCGGCCCTGCAAAGGATTCTGGGTAACACCGCCACCCATCGGAATCAGCCCTGATCTGTGCCCATCCCCGCTGCAAAGGATCCTGGGTAAAGTCACCACCCACCTGGGAACTAGAGAGAGACTCTTGGGTATTATAGGGCATCCAGCGTTCAGTGGTGGGAGAAGGCAAGTACACCAGGGGAGTCGTTTCCTAGCAGGGGCAGACTGAGGGGGATAGTCTGTAGCTGGGGGGGGTGGAATCTGGGGAGGTGCCCAGGAGGGGGGGCAGTTCCTAGTGGGGGGGGCTGAGGTGCCAGTGGGTTGGAGGTTTCTAGTGAGGGAGAAGATCAGAGGTGCCTGGGGGGAAATCTGAGGTGCTTGTAGGGGAGCAGGAGGCAGTTCCTCACTGGGAACAGGTATAAGGTGCCTATTGCAGGGAAGGCAGTAGATCTGATATTCCCTTTCTCAAGGCCCTGGAGGCAGTGGCATCAGCCCTGCTTCCTGCCCTGGGAGAATTCCCCCCAGCCCTTAGCAGTATAGGCCCTAAGACACACACTCTGGGCTCTGCCCTCTGGTTCTGCTCCAGCCAGCTGCAGAGTTGGGGAGTCAGAGGAAGTTACAGGGAAAGATCAGGGGTTGCAAGTTGGTTCCGGCCTCCACTGAGCTCCCTCAGCCCCTGGAAATGTCAGGGGGATGGGGAGATGATGCCACATTTGTATTTGAAACCCCCATGGCTTTTCTGTGTCCTGAGTGGGCAGATTCCTGCCACCCCCCCATCATCTCTGGCTGCATCACACACAAACCGGCACCTCAAGAGCCAGCCAGGCAAGCTTAACAGGGGTCAGGCCCCTGGGAAGGAGCAGGGGATTTGCTCCCCTCGGACCTGGACTGCCAAACTGCCAATTGTTCCCTGTGTCAGCTGGCATCCCTGCCTGGCGCAGAGAATCTGAGCTAGTTCCCAAGGACAGAGCGTCATGAGTGGTCCTGGCCACCACTGCCCACAAATCCATTCAGGGCTGGAGATGAATGTACACGCACACCCATGCTCTCTCGCACATGCACACGCATGTGAGCACGCACACACACACACAAAGCCAGAAATGTGAATGCAAATCTGCACAACCACACACAGGTATGCAAAGACACACACATGCAAACGCACCCAAGCATGCACACAAGTTCGTGGACAAACAGAGGCATGCAAAGACAGATGTACACAGACACCACAGATCTCCAAACACACACACGTGTACACGTAGGCAGTTGCCCAGAGCCATCCCCACAACACACAGCAGCAGAGAACTGCACGTGGAATAGGCCCCAGCACTGGGACAGATGCCTCATGCACACTGACACTCGTCATACACATTTGTGCACATAGGTATCTCCCACAACTACACACTGGCGTGCGCTCCTTCTGCTTAACAGAGCGGGGATGCCACCCTGGACTAGCCACTCCCCAACGCTCATCGGGCCATGCTTGGCAGGCAGAATTGTGGGTAATCATAAGGGGCGTGACGTGGGTAATCATCAGGGGTATGTCATGCACATGCTGAATTGTCCCTGACACACTAGCAATTTTTAGCAGCAGGAGGCCGGCAGTGATATGCAGTGAGACACGCCCCGCCTGCCACGATCATGCCCCCTTCCCTGGTCTCGCTGCCCACCTCACCCCTGGGCTGACTCTTCCCAGCCAGTCCCATGTCAAGCCCCTCCCAGGAGAGCAGCCAGATAGCACACACACTGGCAACTTGCACATTCAGGCACACCCCCTGCACACTGGTGTCTTCCACACTTATGTGCGCACCTGGAGACACCTTGCACGCTCCCCTCACACGCTGTGCACACTCCGTACATGCACTCATAAGATTCCACCCCACACAACTGTTCAATCTCCTTCCCCATCTCAGTGTGCTCTCTCGCTGTCCTTCCATCGATCCCCCTCCACAGTCCTGCATCCATCCCCATCCACAGTCCTGCATCCATCCCCGTGCACACCATCTTCTCCACCACGTACCCCTCCATCCATCCATCCCCATCCGCACCATATCCCCCACGTACCCCTCCATCCATCCCCATTCACTCCCCTCCATCCATCCCCATCCACACCATCTTCTCCTCCATCCATCTCCTTCCACACCCCTCCACCATCTCCATCCAAACCATCTTCTCCCCCACGTACCCCTCCATCCATCCCCATCC